GGCTGACTGTGTCATCACCATCCACAGCCTCGCATGTAGACGTGGGGTCCCCCCCACCCCGCAACCCTGCCACACAGCGATTGGAGGTCAGAGAACAGGGGAAGAGGGGTGTTTCTCACCAGCCAGGAGTATCCGCTATTGGCTGCCTCTTTATTGTCTGTAATCTGGCCAAAGTCTGGTCTGTAATCATAGGGGCCAAAGTGCAGGCCCAGCGGCAGATCAGACGCCTCATTCCACACTCCAAGCCCAGCCTCAGGGATGCCTGACAGTCTGACACTTAACCCGGGGGCAGAGTGAGGGCTGAGCAGTTGGCATGCCCCTTCTCCACTACACAGTCCTTTACAAAGGGAGGGGGCCCGTGAGCAGCACAGCTGTTGATGAAGTTCTGACACTTCTCACAGTCTGGAGGTGAGAGCAACAGGGATGAGGGGAGACATCCCCTCATGATGTTGCTGGTCATAAAGACCATCAGAAAGGGCGCTCAGGGCATTTGGCCTTGATCCTGTACCCCGTGTCATAGAGGAGGGGGATGATTGGGCGACCAAATGGTGAGGTGAGATTATTGTTCCAAGGCCTTGTCTGTGAATGGGCCAGCAGGGTCACTCACAGAGGTAGTCGTCATCCTGGGGGTTGGTGACCTTTGGGACACATGGCCCTTTCTTTTTTGTAGGCTGTACATCTTCACTTCAGTCTCCTTTCTTCTGGGTTCTAAGATGGAGAAGAGAAGCTGAGCAAGGCTGGTGGGGTCTGGAGAGTTAGTTGCTATTTTATCAGAAAGTGTGAGATCTCCCACCTATCCATCTATACAATTTATTAAAGTTTTTTTACATTTATTTAAAAAATTTTTATTTACTGATTTTTATTTTTTAGTGTTACAGTATTTATTAATTGGCCAAGCCACATGGCATGTGGGATCTTAGTCCCCTGACCAAGAATGGAACCCATGCCTCCTGCAGTGGAAACATGGAGTCTTAACCACTTAACCACCAGGAAATCCCTTTTCTATACTTTGTTTTATCTCCCTTTAACTACTGGTTCAGACAGGCTGAGGCTCCACACTGACCACAGATGCCCAGTTCAGTGTTAGCTTCCTGTACTTTTCGTTAGTAGGTTTACCCTCCCAACCTTTTTACTTAGAAAATAGTTCACTGACACATCTGCTCAGAAAATATATGTTGAGGGCACATATACTTATGCCCAGAGGCCTAACAAAGCATGGTCCCTATTATCACAACCGGATTTACTGAACAACTTGTCTGTGTCAACACTTTTATATTTAATGTAATGCTTTCAGACACTGTATGAGTTATGTATTCTTATCTTCACTTTACAGATGAGCAATCAGGACCTCAGAAAATGTATAAGGTTTTCCCATTGCCCTAGGGCTTCAGGTCTCAGATCAGTCCAGCTTAAACCCATGCCTACCCAAAGTCCACCCCACATACCCACACCATAATTATCAGCCTTTCTATAGCAATTAGAGGAACTAAACTCCCCAAATTATTTTCTCCTACCCACTTTTTGTCTGGGGTGCTGTTCAGAGGTACTTGCTTCTCTTGGAGGGGGCACTGGTTTCTGGGCCTGCTTAGAGCCACTTGTCAGCAATTTTGCAGCTCCCGGCAATTCATTTATAGATTCTTACTTAATGGCACCCTGGACATTCCTTTCTGTATAACAGCCACATAGTAAAGGACAACATGCATTTCTTTAGTTCTTTAGGACTTTATGAAGTGTTTTTACATGTATGTCTTTAGTTAACACTTTGACAATTCTTGGAAATACCTGGTGCGAGTGTGTGTATGTGTGTGTCTGAACACTGGAGTGTAAATAAAGGACCTAAATGGGTAGTGAATCAAAACTAGAACTCATATCTTAAGGTTCTTTTGCTTCAATTTTCTCCATGAAAGTGAGAGCAAGGCAGGGAGAATAGCTGGAAAATCAACAAGGTCAGGGAAATAAGGGGCTAAGGGCTCATAGAGAAAACCGGGGGTGTTTTCTATTCAATAGTGGCCCTTTGATAGACGAGGAAGTGTGGAAAAGTACAGAGGGGACAAAACACATCTGGAGAATGAGGTTACAAAGCAATGAGCTTGGGAAGAGAAAAGACAATTGGCAGAAACATACCAAGGCTAGAGAAAATGAGCTGAAAATTTCAGGTTGCCACATGCTAGAGACAGTGTTCAGAATTAAAGTAGCTGGTGCCATCAGTTCTGCTTGAACAAGGCTGTACAACTAGCTGGTTCTCCTTAGTTTCCTGATCCATAAATTGGTATACATGCTAATTCTTAATGTTATAGTGGACATGAAATTTAATAACCTTCAACAAATTGTTGTGTGAGCTTAATACAGTATGAATGTGAGAGTCCATTCCTGCCATCAATTTACCCCCTCAACTGTTTCTGTATTTGCAGTCTAGCTCACAGATACTATCTTCAGCATTCCTTTATCTTCTTACATCTAGATGAATAATTAAATGTGGAGTCACTCACTCAGAAAACATTTAGGGGGCCCAAGGGGCTTTGAGCTGGGTCTGGACTTCTGAGAATTAATGGTATGGGTTAGGCTCTCAAAGCTCATGAATCAGGGGCACGCTAAACAAATGATTCCAAACACTAAAGTTGCCTAATCAGAGCTCAGAGGAAGGAGTTGTTACGTCCTCCTTCAAGAAAGAGCATTTGAAATCAGTTCCAGATGATGAGTTTCTACTCAAAAGGAAGGGGGTAACCTATGTGAAGTCCTTCAGTTATTTTCTTATTGAATTTCAGTCATCAAACCTGAGGTTTGTCAGGGTTTTAAGCTGATTCCTCTTATTGGAGGAGGAAGGTCTGAGGGTGGGGATCCTATCTCCTTCTTCATGTTGGACCATCCACTCTACAAATTGCCCAATATATCTGTAAGCTTCCCTTAGTCAGATGTCCTAGCACATCTCTCATTTTACCACAGCACTAAAGAACTGAGGTTGAAACCGTCTCTCAGATGAATGATATAAAGATGTATAAATAAGAGAGTGTAAACTTTATAGAACTATGAAAGTTTTAATCGGCTTATAAGGGGTTTAGAGAAGGCATTTTGGATTAGATTGCACTACCAGTGACACTGTGATCTCAGGCATATAATCAAACATTTCTTTACCTCAGTTTCTTGATCTGTAATGGTCATAGTACCTACCTGTAGGTACTGTAGGATTGTTTTAAGGTTTAAGTAAGTTTATTCATGTAAAATGCTTAAAGGCTGAAATACTGTGAAAATACTGTAACAATAGAACAACCTACTATTGTTGCTGTTCTTACTAACTATAAAAATGGTGGTGATATCAGACATTGTGCTAAAGGCTCAGAAGAGGAAAGCAGCAGTTTCTAGGATCTTGGCATATTCTCCTATTCTTACCTGTGATTGGATCCATAAGAAGGATTTTCTTGTCCACAGAATTTGGGAGATACCTTCTGGTGTTTACTGTACTCCACTCTAAAGGCCATCCAAGAAGGTTTTCCTGAAAAATGATGAGAATCAGTGTTTTGGTTGGTAAATATTTCCAAACTCCATTCTGATTAAGGACAAGAATTCTGAGCCAGAGTGTGACAAGGACAAAGATTACCAAAGGAGGAATGGAAAATGATCTCTGTATCATCAACTCCTATGCTTCCACTGCGAGCATCACATAATTTTCTTAAAATCAAAAAAGATAAAACTTCATCTGTGCTTCATCTGATGTTCATAAAATGTCTAACAAATTTACTAGCCTTTCATGACAAAGACACTCAACAAACTTGGAATAGAAGGAAGTGACCACAATATAATAAAGGTCATATATGGAAAGTCTACCTCTAACATCATATTCATAATGAAAAGCTGAAAACTTCTAAGATCAGGAAAAAAAGGCAAGTATGCCCACTCTCAATACTTCTGTTCAACAAAATATTAGAAGTCCTAGCCAGAGCATTAGCTTAGGAAAGGAAACAAAAGTCTTCCAACTTGGAGAGAAAGAAGTAAAATCGTGTCTGTTCACACAGGACATGATTTTACATGTAGAAAATATTTAAAATTCCACACAAAAACCTGCACAGAAAATTGCAGGATACAAAACCAACATTCAAATATCTTTCCATGCACAAACAATGATGATTCAAAAAAAAAAAAAAAAAAGAAAACAATCCTATTTATTTTTAATTTTTTAAAGCTATAGTCAAGAGCTAAGTTTAAATTAAAAAAATTAGTTATATTTATTTATTTGTGCCAGGTCTTTGCTGTGGCATGTGGGATCTTTAGTTGCAGCATATGGGATCTGGTTCCCTGACCAGAGACTGAACCCAGGTTCCCTGCCTTGGGAGTGTGGAGTCAGCCACTGGCCCACCAGTGAAGTCCCAACAATCTTATTTATAATAGCATAAAAAAGAATGAAATAATTAGGAGTAAACTTAAGGAGATGAAAGATTATACACTGAAAACTACAAAGTATTGCTAAAAGGAATCTGATAAAATTAATAGAAAGGCATCCCATGTATATGGATTTGGAGTCTTAATATTATTAAGCTGTTCATACTACCCAAAGCAATTTAAAGATTCAATGTAATTCTTTTTTTTTTTTCATTTCAAACTTTATTGAATGCCTATTATGTAAAATTACTGTTTTAAACTAAAACTGGTTAACATCAACATTAAAAATATAAAGTCTTAAATATCACTATTCAAAATAAATCTTCCTTTCTGTGATAAACACACATACACACAAAGATGTACTTTCTAATTAAGGTTTTCAATGTTCAAAATACCTCCTTTAAAACAGAAGGGAATAAATTCCAACAATGCTACTTTCAACACATTAACTATCTTAAAGTATACTGTAATATTTAAAGACTGCTTGCTGCAAAGTGGACTCACATGAAAATAAACCTTGATTTCAGAGATAAGTCTACTATTAATAAAAACACTGCAATTAATTAAATGGATATGTAAGTTACACACACATATCTAAAAAAATAAATGACAATGAGAGGAGTTTTTCATGGAAGGTGACGTGTTGCCATGGATTCTGTTTCTCTTGATTTTCTGAGCAGAGCTTGTTTGAGGGCACTAATTTTCTCATCAAGTTCAGCCAGTGAATAGTTCTGTTGAGGTGGTTGAACTTTTCTTCTTTTTCCAGAAAAGTTTACAGATTGAAAATATTCAGGAGAGATGCCTTCCAATTCAAGGATTCTGTCCTCAAGTTTTTTGATTCTCTGATAAATGTCTCTTGGCACTGGACCACCTGTTTGCAATCGCAAGTGAGCCTCGATATTCTGTAGTAGTTCTTCTACAGCCTGATTACCACAATCTTGGAGCATGCTGTTAGGTTTATGACCTGACCCTTGAGTTCCTTCAGATCTAGTCTGTGGTCCATATGTATTCACAACTCTAGAAACTTTTACATGACTTTTAAACCCAGGGTAAGGAGTAAAAATCGCATCAGTTCTTGCACAACTATTTTCTTGATTACAGTCAATAACATTGCAAAATTCCCTGACGTTGTTTTCATTGATTTCAGCTTGCTTTCTTTCAATAAATGCAGATATTTGTCTGTCAATTTCTGCTTTTCCAGCCTTTATCTGAACTACTTCTGGATCAAAGTGGATCTGTGTCTTTTTCACATCTCCTGAATCACAGTCTTTGTGCTTTTCTTCCTCTTCCAGGTCTCCAATGGGAAAGTTGGCATTTACTTCATTCTTGTTCCCTGTTTCTGTTTTTCCTATTTCTTCAACAACAGTTGTATTCTCCTCTTTAATCAGAGGCTGAAGTTTTGCTAAAAAAGGCTGTAAATATAAAACGTGTTGCTCAAGTGCACTAAATAGAAAAGCGGGCTGGAGTGCCGAGAGGCTCTGGAGCTTGTTCCAATCGATTGTAATTTTCACCACATCATCTCTGAGGTTAAGCTTCAAAGGGGCAAACTTGTCCAGCCAGGTTTTGCAAGGAGCGAAAGACTTCACAGACTATGTCTCGGGAGAGGTTGGGGCTGCAGCTCCGCTCCAGGCTCCTGTCACCGATGGTCGGGCGACTAAGCTCGGCGGCAGCAGCCATGACACTTTCTGAGGCTGACCCCGCCAACACCAAAGTGCCCAATGCAATTCTTATTAAAATCCCAAATGGATTTTTTTCAGATATAGAAAAATCCATCCTACAGTTAATATGGGCTCTCAGAGGACACCAAAACAATCTTAGAAAGAAGAGCAAAGCTGGAGACCTCTGATTTCAGTAACCAAAAGAGTGTAGTATTAGAATAAAGTGCATGCTTAGTTATTCAGTCGTGTCTGACTCTGTGACACTTTGGGCTGTAGTCTGCCAGGCTCCTCTGTCCATGGGATTTTTCAGGCAAGAATACTTGAGTGGGTTGCCATTTCCTTCTCCAGGGGATCTTCCTGACCCACGGGTTGAACTCGTGTCTCCTGCACTGCAGGCGGATTCTTTACCTGCTAAGCCATTGGGGAAGCCCACTGGCATAAAACAGACATACCAATCAATGGAAGAGAATAGACATCCAGAAATAAACAGAAATAAACTCTGGGATACATGGTCTAATGGTCTTTATCAAGGGTGTCAAGACAATGGGGAATGCTTAATCTGGGTAACGAATGGTGCTGAGGAAACAAAATATACACATGCAAAACAATGAAGATCTTACATCATGTAGAAAAATCAACTCAAAATAGACTAAAGACCTAAATGTAAGACTTGATAAAACTCTTAGAAGAAAACAAGGGTGAAGCTTCACAACATTGAATTGGCAATGATTTCTTAGATATGATACCAAGTGCACAAATATTAATAACAAAGTAAAAATAGATAAACAGGACTACAGTAAACTTAAAACTTTTGTGCAGCAAAGGACACAGTGAACAGAGTGAAAAGGTAACCTACAGAATGGTAGAAAATATTTGTAAAATACATATCTGATAGAAAGTGAAAGTGTAGTTGCTCAGTCGTGTTTGATTCCTTGCGACCCCATGGACTGTAGCCTTTCAGGCTCCTCTGTTCATGGGATTCTTCAGGCAGAATACTGGAGTGGGTTGCCATTTCCTCCTCCAGGGGATCCTCTCAACCCAGGGACTGAACCTGGATCTCCAGAATTGCAGGCAGATTCTTTACCATTTGAGCAACTAGCCCATTCTACATATCTGATAAGGGATTAAGCACATACCAATATGAAGGCTGCCTATAAACCAGGAAGAGAACTTAATTGACCAGGATGACATCCTGATATCAAATTCCCATGCTCCAGAATTGTAAGAAAACAAATTTCTGTGGTTAAAGCAAGCAGTCTGTTTTTTTTTTTTTTTTTGCAGTCTGTTTTGTTATGGCAGCCTGAACTGACTAACACAGTGGGAGAAGGAATTGAATAGACATTTCTCCGAAGATATACAAATGGCCAACAAACCAATGAAAAGATGCTCAATATTACTAATCAATAGAGAAATACAAATTAAAACCACAATGGAAATTATCTCATACCTTTTATGATGGCCAGTATGAAAAAAAGAGACAATAGCAAGTTGTAAGGATATGGAGAAATTGGAACCCTTACACACTATTGTTGGAAGTGTAAAATGTTGCAAGCTTTATAGTAAACAGTATGGAGTTTCCTCATAAAATTAGAAACAGACTGCTATGTGATCTAGCAATCCAATTCCTGCATGTATATCCACGAAAAATTGAAAACAAGATCCTGAATCAATGTGTGCACATTTATGGTCATTGCAGAATGATTCACAATTGGCAAGATGTAGAAGCAACCTAAATCTTCATTGGTGGATAAACAGATAAAGATTATATATAAAATATACCTCATATATTTTATATACACATTTACACAATGGAATATTTTTCAGCCTTAAAAAAGAATGAAAAAAAAAGAATGAAATTCTGTCATATGCTACATCAGGGGTGTGCCTTGAGGATATTATGCTGAGTGAAATGAACCAATCAATAAAAGACAAATATTGCATGATTCCACTTATACAAGGTATATAAATTAATCAAATTCATGGAAATGGAAAATAGAATGGTGGTTGCCAAGGGCTATGAGGAGGAAGAAATGGAGAATTGTTGCTCAATGGATATAGAGTTTCAGTCATGCAAGGTGAAAAAGTTCTACAGATTTGTTGTACAACAATGTGTATATAGTTAGCAGTAGTGTGCCATACACTCAAAAATTGTTAAGAGGGTAAATAAAGATGTGTAGAGGTATGGTGAACCTCTACATATGGGATATATGTTCCCTATGAAGAATCTCTTTTCATGTCAAAACCTTTGCAGACAACCAGATGTTTGGTTTTCATCTCTCTTACACTAGTGTTAGTAACCTAAGGTAACATATAGACTTCCCGGGTGGCACAGTGGATGAGAATCTGCCTGCCAATGCAGAGGACACAGGTTCGATCCCTGGTCTAGGAAGATTCCATATGCTGTGGGGCAACTAAGCCTGTGTGTAACAACTACTGAACCTGAGTGCACTCTGCAACGAGAGAAGCCACTCAACACAACCAGAGAAAGCCCATGCACAGCAATGAAGACCCAGCACAGCCAAAAACAAATAAATAATAAAAAAGAATCTAGGAGAACAGAAATCCATAGATGGAGAATCAGAACTAATCTAAATTATTTTCTCCAGTCTAGGCAGATAAACTCTTCTAAACTCTTTAATCTGAGCAGCAGAAGAGGAAGTCAGCTGCTCACTTCTATTTTGTAATGAGTGTACTTCATTTTATTTACCTGATGCTGTCTTTGGTCAGTGAAATGTGGGAAAGATCAGGGAGACTAAATAGTTCTCTCAAACACTTTCCCAGAATCAAGACAAATAATTAGTTCACCACAGGGTAAGAAGATCATGTGGTATGTTTTTATATACATACATAAATAACGTATCTTGACATAACGGTAATCATTTCCTCTTCTAAGAGATTTACTCCAATAACCAAATTATTATGAGATTAGTATTAGAAAGTTCTTTGGTGAATTTATAGTCTAAGTACGGTTTCTTTAATTGCCCTTTCATTAAGAATGTTTAGCAAAAATAATCATTTTTAAAAAGAAAAAGAATGATAAATTTAAAACATAAAACTACTGAGAATTATATTGAAAAACCTATACATCCACCTACCTTCATTCAGGCTTATGTCAATATTCTGCCACTTCAGATCTTTTAATTTCCAGTTCAGAATTCAAAACAAAAACAAACAAAAAAACAAACAAAAAACTAACCAAGACACAGTGAAGTCACATGTTAGCCCTTACTCCTTTGTTGCTGAATTTGGTACTTCTTATTTACATTTAGATTTTTAAATGTTCACCATTTTTCACTGCATAAATAATACACATAATTTTTCCAACAAAAGATCTCATTATTATTGAGCCAAAGGACTAGCGCAAAAACACTGACACAATGAGAAAAATAATTTTTTCAATAAAGCAAATGGATGCATTAGTGATGTTTTCACAGTGATATCGTAAGATGCAAGTGACCCTGACAGCATAAATATGTGTGCCACCTCATGTGTGGCTCCTTATAGACCTACTTTGGTTCTTCTGCAATGTCCTCTTTTCGTTTTATTACCAGTTTTCATTAGAATCCATTGGGGAGTGGGATGATTCTGCTTTTGTTTCTTGGCCAGGAATCACTTGATCCTGAAAGTCTTGTGAGAAGAGTTGGTGAGGAGCAGAGTCAACTGCATGTACGATGGCAGAGAAGGGGAGGCTAATTATATTACATATTTAAAAACTTCATATGGATAGTCTCGTACTGTATAATACAGTGCTTTGCATCTTGCTTGTTTGGTGAATCTTAACGTTTTCTTTGCTAAAGCCTGAGATGCAGCTGAGACCTAAACCCAGGTTGGTTTCTGGAAGACACCTCTAAATCCTCCTGGCCTCTCACCTTGCTGCCTTGGTGTCCATTCTTCATCAGAATCTTCAATGTCATCTACTTGGGGTTTGATGACCTGTCTGTGGTGATGCATGAAAGCTGGTCGAGGGGCTCTGAGGCCGAGAAAGAAGCAAAATTTTTGCTCTAAGAAAGAGGAATAAAGCATAGAGGCAATGGAAAGTGTTACAAAGTCAGGGCAATTAGTAGGATGGGCTGGGAGAATCTAGAACAAAGGAAGAGGTGAGCTCTGCACTGCCAGGGCCAGCACTACATTGATACAAAATAAAAATTTCCTCCAGGTTAGTCTCCACACAAAAGGGAACTGTGAGTAGATGAAGCCACCTAAGAGAAGGCCAAGTTAACACTGAGGCTGAAGACCTGTTTCATGTTTCCTAGGCTCACAGGCACCCAGCATTTCCTGTTACCTATAGT